ACAATTGTCAATCTTCCTTCATTCCTTCACAACCATGGACTTATTTAGATCCTCTAAACCAGGGGTTCTCAACCTTCCTACGCTGCGACCCTTTAATACATTCCTCATGGTATGGTGAGCCCCCAACCATAAAATTATCTTTGTTGCTTCTTCATCACTGTACTTTTGCTGCTGTTATGAATCGGGCCACCCCTGTGAAAGAGTCGTTCGACCCCCAAAGGGGTCGCAAACCGCAGGTTGAGAACTGGTGCTCTAAAAAAGTAATGTAATAGCTCCAGACCATGATGCTGCTGTTTTGGGGCTTTGAGGAGTATAATAAAAAAATTGTTTAATGATGTCAGAAGAAAGAACCCAAGCCTTTACCTTTCCCTTCTTCCCCCAATTGGGGACAATGTGCTTCTTTTCTTTTCCTAGCTGTCTGAGTGGGGCTGTTGGGGGCGAGGGGAGCTGGAGGACTCGGAAGGACAGGCCAGAGTTGAGGCTGTGTCAACAGGGGGAGAAGGGCATCAGGCAAGGAGCAATGCCTTTGGTTTCCATAGGAAGGACACTGTCTTAGTTCTCTACCACTCCTTTAACAGAACGATCACTCGTGGGGGGCTGTGACAAACAGAAATCTATTTTCTCACAGTTTAGAAGGCCAGACATCTCACTTCAGGGCACCGGATCCAGTGGAAGGCTTTCTCTCTCCTTCAGCTCTAGGGAAGGTCCTTGTCTCTCTCAGCTTTTGCTCTTGAGCATGATCCTGTGGCCGGCATGTGCTTCCATCATCTCTCCTCTACTTGCTCATTGAATTTAGTTATGTCTTAAAAAGGAGGCTGACTCAAGAACCCCCCTCCCCCCGAAACTCTGTCTCATGGGCATAACAACATCAACCCAGTCCCCAAAGGGATTATAACAGAAGACGAAGAGGTCAGGAAACAATTCTGCCCTGGCACAGGGGGGCGCTACAAGCCTTTATGAACAGAAAGGTTTGTTTGTTTCCCTCAAGCGTTTGAGAAAATCATCCTACACTGAGAGGAACTGTCTCCTCTTTTGAGGGAGATCTGAAGAACATGGCAAGAGGCATCCAGATGTACCGCTCGCAGTGTACCACCGAGGGGAGTACTCTGTCGGTGTCCAATCCGGTCTACCACCTAGCACAGAGGGATTTGGCAAGCGTGTGAAATCACGGCAGCAGCTCCGGGGGGCTGACCCTGCAGCAAGAAACAAAGTGCTTCCTGACAACCCCGAGTACGTTCAGGTCAGCTGACTCCTAGGTTAGTTCTCGAGGTCAGCCAGAGTCACTTCTCAAATCATTGATTCGCTCAGAGGTCACACGTGTGGTTCATTCTGACATGGCAGGTTTCAGGAACATTTGGAACCAACCTTTAAAACTCGAGAGCAGCGTTTCAACTTGGTTCAATCATGGCCAAACACGGTGTAATCGCAACAGATCCCAACTGGTAAAATGTGGATGTGCCAGGATGATAAGTCGAAAGGGAAAAATGACAGGGGGAGCCCTGGACAGGGAGACTGGAAAGAGATCTAGTGAGCCAGTTCAGGAGTCTGATGAGGGAGAGTACATTATTGCCTGGACTGTTGACAGCAACAAACACACACTCAAAGCAGTGTGGTCAGCAGTGGTGGATTATCCAATCAGCAAGATAAGCACAGGCTTATTTTGCTTATTGACTAATCTGTAGGGCTTATTGAGACGAGCCCTGGGGATACAGTTGGGCTGCGAAACGCAAGGTAAGCAGCTGGGAACCAGCAGCCACTCTGCAGGAGAAAGAGGAGGCTTCCTAGGCCTGCGGAGTTAGTCTCAGAAATCCACAAGGGCAGTTCTACTCAGTCCCATACGGTCGCCAGGAGTCAGATCATCTGGATGGCAGCGAGCTTGCTTTGGTTGTGCTTGTTGGGTACTCCATCCCTACCACGGGTGATAAAGTGGAAAAGAGGTTTTGATACTACGGGAGGTGCTGCCATCTTTGAGCCTGGCACCTCTGTCTCTGATTCTGTGGGTCAAGAAATGTGGTTGCCAGGCATATGCACGTGACCCATGTTTTCTAAGATGGGCATTAAGCGTCTAGCAGACCACCTATCTAGAGTTTTCCCAGCCCTCATGATCGTTCCACTATATCCACATTTCTACACATTTGAGGGTATCCCAGTTTGGCTTTGTTGGCCATGGCTGCACTGGGAAGAACTGTTTCCACGCCCTGTTTGGGGTTCATATCCCTTTACAGCTAGTTTGCTTTGCTCAGTCCTACCTGCCTGGCCCTTCTGAGAACTTCTGTTGGCACTGGATTGTCTAAATAAATTAATTAATTTTAAAAATCAGGTCTCCTATTAGCTATTGCAAATGTTAATTTCATCATATACAGAACCCTTCATGATACAGCTTGGGCCTGAGAATCTGCTTCACACACGTACACCAAAGGGGGGTTAAAATGTTTCAAAATGTGTATGTACAAATACCAAACCTATGGCCTTCCCATATCTTCCTATCACTTGATGAGCAGAGTTCTCACCATTAGCGTGTAAAGCACCTGTTGGCACACCCTCCATTGGCCAGTCATTGGCTGATCAGAGGCATGAGGGGGAAAGAGCACCTCTCCCCTTTTTGCTAATGCTTGACCAAACTCCCACCAGAACTGGGACAGAACTCTTGATCTAGGCAGAGGTAAGAATTTAAAAAGCAATTGCCACCGTAACTTGTGTTTTAGTAAGAGACCATTTGAGAGTTTATCGAAATTAATCACATGAATTAGGAATAAAGCATAAGTGATTTTTCCCTTAACAATAAAATATGTTTTAAAAAACAGACTACGATACCCAAAGTCCCCTATTTTTAAATCGCTCCTATTAAAGGCTGCCAGGCCTGACCCTCCTCTCTGTTTAAATGGATGCTGCCTTCCTCTTGGACCTTCTGCCTGGTCCAGGGCGGTTCCCTGAAGCCCAAGAAACCCCTCTCCACTTGCTGCACAAGCAGACGCTTCCAAACCTCACAGGGCCCCTCCACTCTCTTAACTCGTGTGTGTGTGTGTGTGTGTGTGCGCGCGCGCGCGCGCACTTAACCCCATGTAGTGGGTTACACGTTAGGTCGCTAACCACAAGCTCAGCAGTTCGAAACGAGGAGCCGCTCGGTGAGACTAAGATGAAGCTTTCTGCGCCCACAAAGAGTTGGTCTCAGAAACCCACAGGAGCAGTTTCCTGTCCTATAGGGTCGCGATGAGTCAGAATCGACTCAACGCAAGGAGTTCGGTTTTGGTTTGCCCCAACCCACCACTAACAGATGTCGCAAAAACATTTCGGTGATTACCATTACATAAATATTGTAAGTTATTCTTTATTGTGATAGCAATAGGCATGTATCAAGCACCTACTACGTGCCAAGTATGATTCAAACGATTGGAAGGAGTTCGCGCCACTC